AACACAACTGTTTTGTGAGGCTGATATTTGAGTCTGCCCAGAAGCCACCATTTGGGCCCATCTCAGAAAAAAAAAACAAACTTGTAGAAAATGTTTTGATGCACTCAGCAAAGTAAGGAGGTGGAAGGCATTTAAGGGACACAACAGCCTAGAGGCACCTTGCAGCTTTTGGATAATCTAGGTGAATGCCAATGAGACTGAAGGAAGCATACAGAGCCTACGAGTTGTTTCTAACTTTTAACACAAGAAATCAAACCCAGGAGGCCCAACATGCAGAGGGACATATTCATTTAGTCTGTCCTTTTGCCTTTGGGAAATCTGTGTTGGGAAAAGGCCTTTTCAATTTCCTCTGGCATCCTGTTCGGAGGGAGTGCAGCTCCCTGTAAGTCCCTGTGTGCAGAGCAGCCAAACTGGCAGCTCAGGAGGAAGGACTGAAGCACCAACACCACTCATTTCATCCTGCTGCAGACAAGAGCTGTCTGCAGTCCTGCTGTGCACTGCTCTTGAGTGGCACAGAAGGCCCTAGATCGGCTTTCTTCTCTTGTAACCTCTTCCTGCAAAGCCTTGGGTCTTCACCAACACTGCCCACCTGCTACACACATCCACATATGTGCCTTCAAGAGGCACTGTGTGCCTAGAGTTAAAAGAAACCTCAGCCAGGTCTAGTCCACGGGTTTGTATTTAACTAGCTATGTTTCTGGTAATTGGCAGGTGCTAAAACGGAACATAAAGTTTATTTTATGATAGAAAAACTTGCTTCTTACATTGGTTATTGTTTTCTACACACATGGATAACATCTTGATCCAGAACTTAAGGGAATCTGTGCTTTGCTGTTTTGTTTTGAATTAACATAGTGTGAGCAAATCAGACTTACTAGAACTGAAAGTGAAATCCAAACCCCTATTCAAAATGGGTAATTTGTACTTTACATAAAGGCCTCTTTACCAGCCTGAACACAGACCATATACTTCTCCTGCTTGTCCAGCCTAATTGTTATGCTCTTGTCATACTTGTGACAGTGAGGTCTGACTGCTTTATTCTCAGATTGTTTTCAAATACCAGTTACCAGGACTCCAGGCTGAGACTGGTGCCCAGTTCTCTTTAACTTCTGCTAATTTGTGCAGACTCATTTAATTCTGATGACTGACTGAAAGGCTGTTTCTGTGTTATCATGTGCTGCTTAGTGCTTAGAACTAGTTGGTTTAGAAGGACAGTTTAAAGGAGTTACATGAAGGTTTATTTCGTGCTTTCTCTGCATTCCTGCTGGTGATGGTGTGTTAATGGAGACAGCTAGCATCTTGAGAGGTCACAATGATTTGGTGGGGAGCTGCAATACATAGGATTCTTGTGATTCCTGCCCAAAATCCCATCATTTTTTCTCTATGCATATATAAATATGTAATATAATGCAATAAGCTGGGACTCTCTACAGCCTCTCAGAACACAGTGGTCCTGGACAAGGCTCTGTAAGATTGTAGCCTGTACATTGCTATTCGGCTCTGTACTGTCTTCCTTCTACCAGTGGTGCATCAAGAGACTCACTGGTTTCCAGTAACTCCAGAAAATATCCAGACCTTTGTGCTGAAAAGCTGCTTAGATAAAGGGGAATTCTGAAGTGTGAATTGTTTACCTGATTTTTTGTAAGACCTTTGTGTTTAGGAATTTTCTCAGTGGAGAAGATTTTTAAAATCCGTGCACCAGTGAAACCTTTTTTTATCAGTGGGGCCAGTATAGCTTAGAATAAATAGGGGTGCTGCCTCTGTGGACCACAACAGAGCTTCTGAGATCCACAGAAAAAGTATTTGGACTTGACAACTACCCACTGACACTAAATATAACCTTCTGGTAAACATTAAAACTTCAAGGGCTTTGTGGCTGATGATCATGTTGAACTCCAGGACATTCAGTGAGAGACTAGAGTGGAAAACATAAACATGAAAAGAAACACGGGGGGATGGGAACTTTGAAAGCTGGTGGAGAGAACAGAGAAGATTTTGATGATTTTTTTTTTTGTTGTTGCCTGATTCAAGAGTTTCCAGTGTAATAAAACTGAAGTATCCATAAGGCTGAGACAGGTTAACTAGTAATGAACCAAAAAAGCACACAAGAAACTGTGGATTGCTCCAGCACATTTTGTCCTAATAGGAGTACTAAAAAACACTGTACACCGAGTAAAGGACAAAAAACAGATGCTCTTGTCATTTCCATCTTGGTTCTTCTGCTTTAAATAGGAGAATTATCTTCCTCTGCACTATGGTTTTTACTTCATGTATTTAAGCTCTGATATCTGGCTATAATTATCAGAAGGATTTCACAGGGAGCACCAAACAGCTGGAAAACAGTACCAGCTCTCAGTCCCCATCACTGTGGGCTGGATTTGATACTTGGAAGGCTCTGTATCTTTCTGACATAAGCTCAAGGATCTGCTCTATCCTTCCTCAAACCATGAAGAGCAAAGCCTTTATTTTCTCAGTAAAGTAGCACACAAGGACAAGCAAGTTTCTAAAGCAGATCATAAACTGCTCAAGTATCTCTTGCATGATCATCAGTTATCTTCTAGCCTGCAGTGCTGTCCTCAGCTTTCAGGTCACCCCTAAATACCAGCTCATCTAGTCTTACAGCACATGGAAGAAGTTCTGCTCGACAGCAGACGTTTTGACTGTTCTTAGCAAACATGGGGACTTAGTTGGATGGGTGTTCAAAGCACCTCCCATGTGCACCTGGGGCACCTTCACCACTGCTCTGTGAGGTGGTAGCCATCACCCTGACATCTGTCTGGCAGCTGGGCACACTGATGTGTTACTTAACTAGTTCAGGATGACTAGAAAGCAGAGAAGACCCAAAGCCCTCATTCTGAATCAGTAAACACCATTACATGTTTTGTAAGAACAAACATTTACCAGTCCTGGAAGTGGTCATTTTTTTCTGTTAGCTTAACTCTTGTTGACTTACAAACTGTTTTCAAGGCTGTGACAATTTCTTTTAAAGATAGAAAAAAATGCAAACACCTTAGAAAATATTCTGCAAGGAGAGTAAGAGGCATTTAAGCCTGTTTAAAACTCAATCCAAACAGAGACAGACCTGTTGCCAGTGAGGAGGGAAACTTGGCAGCTTTGCTTAAAGCTTCCCACACAGACACTGGAGACGAAAGAAAACAAAGAAGCTGTAGTCCCTGAGGGTCCTGCCACTCCCTGGGCAAAAACAGTCCCTTCCCTGCTTTTCCTTTAGCTCTCAGACACACACACGTGCTCTCTTACAGCAATAACCAGCTGAGCCCTACAGTCCTGGAAAAAAATACAGGAAATGAAGAGTTAAAAAAAAGAAAAAAAGGAAAAGAGAGAGAGAAAAAAAAAAGAGAACTTGGAGGCGAGCCAGCGTCCCCGAATGACTCCGCTCTGCCGGCAGCCTGGAGCGACACTCCCCGCCGGCCCTGCCCTCCCTCCTCTCCCCGCAGGGCGGGCGTGCCAAGCCCTCCTCTTTATCAGGGGCTGGAGTTCCCCTTCTTGGTCTCTGCTTGGTTTGGAAACCCAGAAATGTTGCTAAATTTATCTTTCGCTTTCAGGACAATGGTAAATGCCAGCAATAAGAATGCAAAAGAACTGAAAATTAATGGAGACAATTCCCTGCCAGCCAAGTGGAAACACCTTTTCTGTACAACTCCCAAGGCGGCAAAAAGCAGTTACACAGTGCAAAGCAGGACAGGCTGCCTGGGGTGCCAGGAACACGCTGTTCCTTTGGCTGTGTGCCACAGGGAATTGTCCATCCATATGCTCCAGTTTGATGGGGCTTTCTTCTCTCCCACAGAGAGCAAAGCATACCATCAAATTAGACTGGCTCTTACTTTATCTCAGGAAGGCAACAAGAAAAGCTGAAGGCACACTGAAAGTAAGGCCAGCATGGGTGAGGCTGACACCTCAGAGCTAAAACTGCTCGGGAGTTATGTCATGTTTTATTCTGAGCATCTCTTTCTTACTGCTCTTTTTAAGAGAACTGACCACACATCTTAGTAAACTAATTTGCCATCTGAAATTACTCAGTGGAACATTTTGCACAAGTCTGCTCTAGTCGGTGTGGTGCCTCGACACATGTGCTATGATTGGTGCTTTCAGCAGAGGCTGGACTCCCCAGTTTCTGGTGTCCCCTTTCTGACGGGAAGCCATCCTGTTTCCCAGCACCAGGCAGAGGCGTGAGGTGTGGCAAGTCATGGGGCCTATTTCAAGATGGCCCTCCTAATACTTTCAGTGCAACTTTCTCAAGGCTTGCAAGACTTCCACTTTTTCTGTGGGTGTGTCTTATAAATTACAGTAGCAACAAAAAAGTGCTCAGCCTTCACCAAGAAGTAAGCACTGAACACTGATGAGTACAAGTTACTGGTTGCATTCAAATGTTTTTTTCTTTTGAATTTGGTTCTACCCAGCTGCCAAGAGCATTTCAGACACTGCCCATATCCCCCTCTCTCCTCACTCATGGTGTCTCCTTGTGACTCGTGTTCAGCCTCTCATCTACCTTCTGCTTATTCTGGCTTTCACAGTGTCTGCTAAAGAAAGAAACAGATACACAGCCATGTAGGTGCCTCTAGAACATTTAATTTTAAAATATCAAGAGTATCGATACTTGCGTGATAAAACTGGTATAAAAAGAGGGACTGGAGCACGGAGTAGGAAAAACGGGGAGGTAAGAAGTACTGGAAAGGGAAGTAGAAGACACACAGAACAAGAAGGCCAGCAGCTAAAAATTACAGCTTGGTACAATCCACACAGGTGACCCGCATGCCGTTCCCTATGACATTAATAAAAAGGGCACCATTAGCTTTGAATCTATGCCCGGTAAGGGTTTATTCCCAGAGGGGTTTTTTTTTGTTGTTGCTGTTTGGTTTTCCCGAGCTTGAGTTCCGAGAGGTGAAACCATAACAGTGGCCAAATAAAAGTTTGTTTGGTTTTGTTTTTCATTTTAATTACCAAGCTGTAACAAATAAATCTCTGGCTGGATTGTAACTAACCTGTATGGGTCCTTAGATGAGCTTTAAGATGGGAAGATTTGCCATAAACTTTTTCACACCCCACATAGTGGCATTTGTGCTTTTTCTGGGGTGATCCAGGGTCAGTCCAGCTTCTTATGCGTTTGTTCTTTTGTCTGGGGCTTGGCTCAGTTACTGCAGCCAGGCTAGTAGGTGTGGCTGCTCGTTCTCCTCCGCTCTTACCAGCTGAAGACAGACTTTCTTCCCCAAACTCCGTAGGAGCAATAGAAAAGTGTATTTGTTCTGTTATATCAAGCGTCTCTGCTTTTTCCGTCCTTAGAGCAGGTGAGTTTGGGACGTGCTGGTTCAGATCTGCTAAAATGCTAGCTACCACAAGTAATGATGATCCATTGTCTTTCCCGGTTTCTCTGACTTCCCGTCTATCTTCTCCATTGGATGAAGGAAGTATTGCTGCATCAGGTTGGGGATCAGGCTCCCCTTTGGGACTATGGATAACAGCACGACTTGACATAGAAACAAGGCACTCTGCTGCAAAATGATCCACATATGCTGCTGTTGCCATTTTTCATAAGTTTAAAAAGAAATCCAAACGGACGAAGACAAAAAAAAAGAAAAAAACAAACCCAACACAACAGCACTCTTTCCCTTTTTAAAAACGATTACACAAGCAGACTTTTCCCTCCCTTATTTCCTAGGATCGGTTTGTAGGAGCAAAGGCTGATATCGCAGCCATCAATCCAACACTTTGTTCGTGACGATCACACCCAGCTTGTCACTAAATCGAAAAAGCGTTGGCGGTCCAATGGAAGAGAAAAGGAACAGCAGATAGATCCTGGCACTGGCAGCTTGTTGCTGGGAGCAGGGAGTGAGGCGGTGCTCTCACGAAGGCGCGGGGCTGGCGGCGCGGCGCGGCAGCCCTGCCATGGCGCTGTGACAGCGCGGCCGGCGCGGCCCGCACCCCGCGGGGCGGGGCCTGACAACATCTGGCCGTGACGTCAGCGCGGGGCCGCAGCCCGCGCCAGCAGGTGGGC